CCAGTAAAAGTCCGGAGCATAAAAGTGTATAGGAAGCAGTACAAATCGATCAGTATTGGTATAAAAGGTCTGTACAATGGTAATATATTACTTATGTAATAGGAATATTCGACCAATCAGCATTCATAAAAGCGGACGGAAGGACAACTCCACGTAATCTTGATGATCACAGTCTATCGTAAAAACAGAGTGTCCTCCGCTTCACTCCGGACAATAAGGCAGTAACTAGTAATGCATTCGGGTAGTGAATTAAAAAAAAGAAAATAATACTTATCGTATTCATGTGAACGGTCACGATCCAGGATTGTGATCATACACCAGAAAATTAATTAATTAGAGGGGTTATAGTAAAACATGCTATTAATAATACGCATAAGAAATGATGTAATAAATATGTATTAGTAGTAGTCAATTGTGTTGATATAAGAATGAAAAAAGTAATAAAGAAATCCATACTTTTCACTTTTTGCAATTTACTTTCTTGTCTGCACACTTAGTAACGAACGTTGTACGTTTAACCAGTATCAATAGATATATCATGTAAATTTGTAATGTTAATACATGCCAAACTATAGTTTATAAGGAAAGTAATTGCGAAATGTTAACAACCAGTATACAAAATTAACCAAACTCATACTAAGTACCAAACCTTGGGATTAAAAATTTAGTATAAGAGACAAACTCTAAATCAATTGATTAATAATTATTTGTTCACCCAGTAGTCGCTTGCTTCGACTGTCATCTCTACTTCGTCCCCTTACTAAACGCCTAGCTTAATAGTTCTCGCTCTAACCTTAAAGCTAACAAAACACAAAAAACTGACAAAAAACGCAGCATGATAACAGCGTTAGTAAATGAACACCATTAACAAATAATATAAAGCCAACGAAAATAACACCGTCAGAACCATAACGTCTATGCAACGGTAAGAATGTATCAACTAGCGATGACACCAATATACGACACCGTCAAAACAATGACAACCTAATAACACAAATATAACGCTTAAAAAAAAAGATCTGTTAGTAAAAGAAAGGAAAAAGTAACAAGCAATAAGTAACACACAAACAAAAAAAAAATCAATACTTATATCTGATGAACAAAAGAAAAACCAAACTTATATACGGCAACACCAGAATACAACGTAATTACCGCCAGGATACCACGCTAGCAAACCACGGTATGACAACTCAAGGATGTGAAAAATAACTCTAAAAAAAAAGACTAGCTAGCAAAAGGAATGAAAATGATGTGAACAAAAAATAGAACTAATAAAAAAAACTAGTTTGTAAAAAAAGAAAATAAAAATTTTAATGGTTTAACGAACCTCTGCTTGAGAAAAAAGTGCCACGAAAGAACTAAGTAAAAATGCCAACAAAAAAACTTGAAAGCCTTTTTATTTTAAACCTTACTGATAGACTTTATGACCTCATTACCGTTAAACTTCATGACCAAACTCAAGATCGACTGATCAAACTCAAAATCTGATATTAATAAATCCTGTCGGCATTGACCAATCAGAATCATGATTTGGTGTCATGTGCAGAGTTAGTAAAAAACGAAAAAATTCATCCAATTCTACTTTTATCAACAGCACTGGTAAAATTTAAAAAAGTTACCATGTTGAATGGCATGATTCGAATGAATCATGCCATTCAATATGGTAATTTTTTTAAAATTTTACCAGTGCTGTAAATGAGGTTCAGGTGTTAAAGGATTTGATAAAATTCGAATTTAAAAATCTATAAGTCTCGGTTTTAAGATTTGCCATAACTACATTAAATTCATCATATTACATTATAATAAAACATGTTTAAAACATAGTGACAGTTTACTTTACCGCATGCATTTGTACAGGCATGTAGAAAATGTACTTGGGGTATATGATTAATATAGTGTATTGGAAAAATGTACGCATCTTCAGATACTCGAATTTTATAAAGTGGACATCCGAGCATTGTGTCAACAAGGTTTGTCTCCTGAAACCTGTCAAATTGAAAAAACGCATAGATCTTATTATCATTTGCTTGATGCGTAAATATTGTTCTAATCCTAGCGTAAGTAATGTTCTCAGAATTTTTGGCCAACTCTACGATATCCCCGACATGAAGTTTTAATTTAACAGAACCTTTGGTATTGAGAACAGTATACGTAATATAATTATAAAACAAAAGCTTCTTATTTAAGAGTGCTTCTCTCAATCCAAGGTGCTTTGCATATGATTGGTAAAGATCTTGAAAAAGTACAGATGTATTGGATAAACCTATATTCTCTAATTTTCCAAGATTCCACATGTCTTTAGGTGTAATATTAATAAAATTTTTATTATAACAGGTGATACACTCTGTATCTTAAAAATGGATATTAGAGTTTGAAACCAGATTTATACTTTATATTTTAAATATGAATTTATCAGATTTAAAATATAAAAATAAACCTGGTTTCAAATACTAAACTGTATTAATATCGATATAACGATAATAAATTAAAGATTTCATTACTAGAGATAGGTTCGACCAACTATTTTCTGCTTAGCCATTTATAGTTGGTTATCTATCTTGTGATTTAGCAACCCAAATTGGATGATTTTAGTGCTGTACTATTCAATTTGATTACTGGACTACAAGATAGCTAACCGCTATAAAACGGCTAAGCCAAAAATAACTGACCGAACCCATCCTTATTCGTTACTATATAATCTTAAATAATAGGCATCTATTTATTTACCTATAATTATTTTGAGCAAGCTTGGTATTGTGTTTAAAGTTGAAATCTAGTCATAATTTTGAGATATATGCCCATCCTATTATTTCAAGATCATATAGTAAAAATTTAAATTTACTTACCATAACTTTCACTTTCTTCATTCAGTGAATTTAATAATGGGTTTTCAACAGCGTACCAGTTAGAGAAAACTTTATAGAGGTGCAGGTCCTGGGTAAGATCAGAAAGTGCTTTAGTGTTAATTCTGAACCGGGGATCTTTCTAACCATCAATAATAAGCCTTAATGCTTCTATTGTATTATAACGACGTGTAAGGTCCAATTCGATAATTTTTTTATTGGTATGTGGAACTATGCCTTTAAAGATGCGATGAACCATTTCCTTAACACCAACCGCAGTGTTTGTTAATGTTGCAAAATTTTGTACATTTTGCAACAGATGAACATTAACATGCAGGTTGGGTAGGTTGGTAAATCGTTCTGGAAATACCTATTTTTTAGTAAAAATTAAACAGATTAATAAAGCAATATATATTTGTAAAGATAATGGTGTAGGGTATCATAAATTCTTGAAATAACAGTACGGGCATTATTTTGAATTTTGGCCTGAATTAAGCTTAATTCAGGTCAAAATTCAAAATAATGCCCATGCCCATTATTTCGAGAATTTGCAGTAATAAAAAAAAAAAAAATCTTCAAATATTAGTTAAGCAAAAAATATGCTGGCAATATTATATACGTAATACATATATTTAAGAAAGTATGCAGCTACAAAATATTTGTGAAGTTGGTTGCAATATATAAAGTGCAATAATACTAACCTGAATAAGCATCTCATGTTCTTTTCTTAGTGTTTCTTCTAATTCCTTATAAATAATTTCTGTCATTGTAGTTGAAAATGCAAGTTTAAGAACTCTAGCCTCAACGGCCCAAAGGATACAAATTTGCTTAGTTTGTTTTTTTGGTAATTTTTTTAAAGCATCCATTTTTATATAATTGGGGTTTAAAAAACGTTTGAGTATGAATGGCATCAGCATTGAGATTCTTAAAACATCGGAAAACATAAAACTTTGGTGATGTCTTATCGGATTAGGCATCCTACTCCAGCCACTAGGCTTCTCAATAGTTTTCCAATGTTCTATAAAGGCTTTCTCACCATTGGCGTTGAGTATACTAAGTGTAACGTCAAGCAACGTCCGAGCTTTCCCCCCATAGAATGATATATGTCTTGTGGGGACTGTATGTGTTGATCCCACTGGAGGACACTAAAAGGTCCAGGAGAAGCTATTAATCCATATTTGGTAGCTAGTTGTTCTTTCTTTGTTTGTGTTTGTTGACATTCAATTTCCAATAATCGTTGCTTAGTTTGATGGTGAGAACGGGCATTTTCTATGTAATTATAGTTTAGATCCGTAAGGTGATCACTAGAAATGTTACATGACCTACAGCCATGAGTGGCATTATGGCGTTTAACACCAGCAAGATCATTGCCTTGGGGCAGATCTGCGGTGATGCACCCAAGGCCACCAACAACCCATACATTCCCATATAATGTTTGCATTAAAAGTCCATTTTCTAACTGTTGGATATCTTTAATTATTGGCTGGATAACATCATTAAGATTAGCACCAAACGGGACTAGCCCAATCAAAAAGTGATTTTTAAGTTGTTTCCTTAAAAAAAGAGGCATATTCCCGAATTGTAAATATATTCCTCCTAATGAGTGATACACGTTCCTATATGTCCCAAAATCGTCGATATATATATCAAGAAATACCTTATATACAGGTATGGGTTGTGGTGGTGGTTTAAATATAACTGATTCACAAGGTAATCTATATCTTGTTGAAATGTTACGGTATTTCCAACGACCACCAAAACGGTATATAACTTCTTGAACATAGAAATCATAATTGTCAGGTTCTGGTAAATCTAAAAACCATACATTAACACGTTGAAAAATATTTTTTGGATCAACGAATACAGGATCCCCTTCAACAAGCCATAATTCTTTATTATTTCCTCGGGTATGCCGGAGACTATTATATTGACAATTAGGGAGTTTATTGTGTTGCAATAGTTTGTCAATTTTTAATATACAAGAACTATCTATTTCATTGTTTACAATGCCGCGTATGCGGCATATGAATTCCGCAGATAGTTCTTTGTATAAAAAAAAATCACCTGTGCTATATATTTCTAATTATTACAAGTTATTTATCATTACCTCTAAAATTAGTAACATGATAATTAAAATTTGTGAATCCTATAAATCCTTCATGTTGCTATTGCCAATACGTATAGAATCCACGATTTTAACTATCATATTACTAATTTAGAAATAATAATAAAAATTTTAAAATTTTAATATGTGAATATGTAAATTTATTATAAACACACCTATGGTAATTTTGCAACTCATTATATATATATTCTTTCTAGTTTTCTTAATTTAAAAATTTTTGAAAATGCATATTTTTACTTAGATCACTGCATACCAGCCGGCTTTGGGATAATAGGTATAAGTACCATAGATGCGTTTTATAAATGGCGTAATATATTAAATCTTAAAAACTTTCCAATACCAACCTCCACTATTGCTTCTTATTTTATGTGATCCAAAAAGTGGAGATTCTTGCCAGAGGTTTCCATGCCAGAATTCGCTTTTTTCATTTTTAATTACTCCAGGTCCGAAGTATAATTTAGGTGTAATTGCTGGATTATTTAATATACGCTCCAAATATGTTAACGGAGATATTGTAAATGCTTTTTTTGAAGATGCAAGTGCAGATGGTGCCTTTTGAGAACAAATAGGCACATCATGTTGACGTACTGTAAGTAGAGGTAACCTATACCTCCACTTACGCATACGTCTAATATTCCCGATAATATCTTCTTTGCGAAATTTAGGATGAGTAATTATCTTGGCTAGGTCTTCATATGCGCTAGTTGCTAAACATAATGTACCCGGCTGAAAATCGTCCTCATTCAGAATCGAAACAACCCCGGATGAGAATTTTGTAATACTACGTATACAAAATAAAAAAAAAATCTTTTTTTTTTATTATAAACCCTAATTATCGTTATTATTTATAATCCTAAAGCCCTAATTTCGCTAAAATTCCCATCCGGGGCAGTGATTCTGAATCGGGACGACTCCAATTTGGGTACAATAATAAATATAAAGTATATACTTGTTCTAATACCGATACAGAAATTCGTAAAACATTACTTACATATCATGTGCTTTGTAATCCAAACATACAATGTTGCAGACGTAAAATTTGGAAAGTATGGTCCGTACTCTCCATCAAAACCTTCAAATTCTGTAGAATTTTCTTCTAAAATATCGCCATTTACTGAGTTTTCCTCAATGTCATCGATTAATGGCACATCAAGCATAACATTTGTAAAGCACGTGTTTAAATCAAAATGTTCCAATTCCTTTTTAAAATAAAACAATACATAAAAAAAAAAAATTATGCATATCATAGAACATTTAAAACTAACAATGGACCGAAAGAAAAAAAAAAAATTTCCTAACCTCATCCGCCAATTTTTTATTTTCTTTAATTCTAGTTTTTTTAATTTCACCTTCGGCATTATCAATTACATCATTTTCGTCAATTTGGTCAATTTCATCAATTTTATCAATTTCATCAATTTCATCAATTTTTTCGATTTCGTCAATTTCATCAATTTCTTTACTTTCTTCAAAAAATTCCACATCCGCAAAATTCATATTGATCTTTTGTGATTTATTTTGAACAAACAAATCCTTTTTAAGTCGCTTTTTGCGTAACTTTGGAACATCAGAGCAACGAGAAGGATTGGAGGTTCTGTTCGATCGTTTCATAGCTTGTTTTTTTTTTTTATGGTTATTTGTTGATAATTTATTTCAAAATGATATGATTTAATTAACTAGAAAAAACCACAATATGCTAATACGACTCTAGCTAGAAAAAATTTTAAGGTAATAAAATTTTAAAGAGTAATGTGTAATATGGAATATGACTTTACCTAAGATTTCACGTAATAGTATTTTAAAAAGTGATGTGTAATATTATTGCAATATGCTAATACGACTAAAAAGATATATATATACTACTTTTTACGTAATAGCATTTTAAAAAGTGATATGTAATATTATTGCAATATGCTAATACGACTAAAAAGATATATATACACTACGTAATAGTATTTTAAAAAAGTGATGTATAATATTATTGCAATTTGCTAATACGACTATTGCGTATGCCAATACGACTAAAAGATATATATATATATAGTATATAATAATATATATATATTACTTTTTTCACTAATTTTTCGCAGGAAATTTTTTGATACTAAATTACTATGGCTCCTAATAAAAGAAATTTACGTAAGTAAATTAATATTTTTAAAATTTTTCTTAGAAGTTCTATACTAAATATAATAATAAATTTTTTTTACAGGAAAGAACATTCATACCACACAGGAACCTAAAAAAGTAACTCCTGTTAGAAAAGCAACTTCCGCTAAAAAAGCAACTCCTATTAGAAAAGCAACTTCTGTTAAAAAAGCGACTGCAAAAGCAGCAACTCGCACTAGAAAAGCAACTCCTATCGGTATGTTATTCTTTTAATATATTCTTATGAATATTATTGCAAGCATAAAAAAATATATGTACTATTTGTTTATGATATTTTTTTTGATATTACTAGATCCTGAAGAACAAATAATTGAAGATATTGTAGAGATTATGGATAATAGAGTGGACAATTTACGAGGTGATTTAAGCGAAAATGAAGATGAATTAGTTGAAGATTATTTAGGAGAGGACAATTTAGAAGATAATAATTCTGCAGAAGTATCGGGTATGTATTAGATATATGATTTAGATAATTTTAAATGTTTCATATTTAAATTTAGACAGCTTAAATTATTCTGTCAATGGTATCATTTTTTTTTACATTAAAAAGATCGATCGTATATGGGTAAATTTTAAATATATTGGATGAACTAATAAAATCTTATTTATTGTTTAGCTCGTAATTCTGACAATATTAATGAGTTAGCACGTACAGAGACTTCACATTCTGTAACAAAATCTAAAGGCAAGGGTATTGCGACAGCACTAGATGAGAATTCGGCATCAAATTCAATTACAAAAATAGTAAATTCCGCAGCAAAATCACATAAAAGTAAGAATTATTTTAAAAATAACACAATCTAAAACTACTTATGGATTACTTTCAATATTTTGATAGATAATGAAAATGATTTTGAATGGTATAATTTACCTCAAGAACCTCAAGAACCTCAAAAAGCTTTAACAGAGCTTTATAATTCATCAAATGAACTTGAAGCTGCTATGTGGGTAGTTCACCATCCAAGTGTTTTAAATTTAGCCAACATTATATATAACGGGAGGAAAACTAAAATACAAGACAGTGATAAAATATCTGAAATATCGACTAATTCATGCAATTCTATGGATGTTGTAGAAATTACTAAGGTAATCTTTACATATTTCAATAATGCATTACATCAATTTTTTCTGTGAACTTATAGTATATTTTATATTAGCATATGAAATGGCAATTGCAAAACGAATGCAAGGCTCTTTTTCTTTGTACAAGAAACAATACCAAAGATCTATACGAAGAGCTAGCCGTAAAAGTATGCAAAATTCGAAAAAGTGATCACCGTATGGCGACATTAGTCAAAGACATGGGTAGTTGGTTCGATGTTTATCGTCACAATCTTCATGTTGCTATTACAACTCTTGCAGATGATTTTGCTACAACACATCAACAGTAAGTATTGACTAGTTTCAAGTATTATCTACAATTGAACAGAAAATTTAAAAATAATATTACTATATTGCCCAAAATAATGTTCCGGGGCATTATCTAGGAATATGCAAATTGAAGAGAGCTAATAGTTAAATTACTCTTCAAATTGCATATCTCTAAATAACGCCCTGGAGAATTATTTTGGGTAAATATTGTATTGATTAATTTTTAGAGAAGAAGAACTGTCAATTAGTCAGTTATATGAATTCATAAGCGAAGTAACCTGGAAAAAAGTACTCAGGGTGCATTTGCAAGCTACCGATTTGCCAGTATTAAATAACGATTCAGAAATAATTACAAAGCTCGGTACTTTTATACGCCAAGCCGTTAGAGATGTTCTTATTGCACAGAATAAACAACAAGATACTAGAATTGCGATTAGGAAATGTGACGAAATCACTTTAGATTTAAAAATTCCAACTAAACTTGGAATAGTCAAAACTTTACCTGTTAGGACACTTTTGAGTTTTTTCCACAAGTAGATTATTGTACAAAATAGCAACTGATTGCATAAGCATAAACATTCAGTTATAGAAAAGTTGTAATATTCTGGACTTAGTATAATCAAAATATTTTCGCAGTAGAGCTGTTGTTTGGCTGTTTTAGTGCTTATTAATAAGCTTTTTTTTTTTTTTTTTTTTATTGATTTATTTTTGATTATGAGTTAGGCGTATCTCAATTTTTCTGCTTAACATTTTTGATCATGTTGTTACTAAGTAGGTATATTCTATAATTTTAGCCAACTGTTATCGAATCTTCTCAAAAAATTAGAATTCTTAATGAATTTAGTCTAAGTTTTCAATTAGATCTATAGATTATATCACGCATTTCTGTATGGATCATGGTAGGCTTTTTAATAGGGCTTTCTTCTCCTCGAAGTATGCTGCTAAAATGGCATATTCGACCACAAGGTTGATTTATTAAAAAAAAAAAAAAAAAAAAAAGAGAGAAAATCTTCGACATTTATTATTCTTGTTGTGTAATATGCATCTAAAGGATCTTTGCGTAGTAATCTTGCTAAACTTTCAATAGTATCAAAGACAAGACGTCGTGGAATTTATGGAATTTACTATATATAGCCTTTGAAACTACAGAGATTAACATACTGTTTTATCAGATATCTACTCATTCGGCATAGAAACTTTACATAGAAAATCTGTAACTTATAATCAAGAATTGGAAAGATTTATGATTCGAGACACTATACGATTTACTTGAGGAAATTTTGGATAAAAAAAAAAACCGGTAAATCATCCATCAGCAATAAAATCTGTGAAACTCTTACAGAATGGTAGAATAATGAAAATATTTTGTCAGATTTAAATTAGAAGAAATATTAAAAATACATATCTACGAACATATCATAATTAATATTTATAAAAGCAATTTATTGAATTTACTACTACATTATTTTATTCAGGTAACTATATTATTCTTTCAATAATTAAATGTTTTTTAATATTAATTATCAATTATAATTATTTAATAGACAGCCGCCAAATCTTGCGCACTATCTTAATTTCACACATTTACTATACATGCATATTCTTTCGCGACACCAATATTTGATCTTATGATAGCTTTATTTCATTAATTCATTGTTAAGCAACTCTAATTTGTGGTCACAAAACAAAAACAATTAATAAATGCTTAATTAGGCGTGTGATCCTCAGCCTATTTGTTCGTCGATTTTTTGAGGTGATTTTTTTTGAATTAAAAAACGTTCTTCTATTATCAAACTTGAAGAATTTCGAATATGGAGAGTGTTAAAATTTTATTATACCTGGTAAGTTTTTTCTGGCCTTACTTATTTTAACAATTTCTGACTTTTATTAATAGAAACATTGGATGTTACTAGATCGAATATTTACTAATAGCGATTATTATTATTATTATTATTATTATCATTATAATTATAATTATTATTATTATTATTATTATTATTATTATTATTATTATTATTATTATTATTATTATTATTCATACAGTCTTTTTTCACGCTTTACGATTGATAATTCAAATGGTTATTCGGCGTAATATACAAAAAAATAGGGTGAATCTAGGTAAGTATTATTTAATACCAAAGTTTATTATCTTTAAGCGAAAGAAATTTAATATATTATACTATTTGAAGGAATTGCATCTCGAAATTTGAAGGGTAATCTTTTGTCCTTGCGTGGAATAAAGTCACCAAGAACAAATTTTAGACATTCAGCATTAAAAGCTCATGAAGTAATTCTAAACTATTGATGAA